TTTTGAGTCTCTGCTGCCGTTCCCATTTCTGTGCCGGGGCCGTGCCCCAGTCTCCGTGGGCACAGCTGTGTCAGCTCCACGGGCTCTTTGTTCTTTTTCCTCTCGGGCTGGGATCTCCATCCCGATGGATTCTGTGAGAGCAGAGATCAGTTCTGCCCTGGAGCTCCCAGCCAGGCTGCAGTGATGCCATCAGAGCTGGTGCCCGAGCTGTGTCATCTCCACGCTGCAGGATAAACTGGAGAGCCCTCGGGGGCACAAGAGAAACTCTGAGAGCCCTCAGGGGTGCAGGATGAACTCTGGAGAGCCCTCGGGGGTGCAGCATAAACTTTGGAGAGCCCTCAGTGGTGCAGGATAAGCTCTGGAGAGCCCTTGGTAGCACCTTTAGTGCCCGGGTGGCACCGTTGGTGACCAACGCCAGCAGTGAAGTGTCTGTGCCCACCTGCTCCTGCCACTGACCCCTCGGACACTGAGCCCCGGACACTGAGCCCTTCGCCTGGCACTCAGAGCCCCCGAGGCTGGAGGAGCTGCCCCGTGCCCGAGGGCACCCAGAGGCGTCTCCGTGGCCGGACCCGTTTGTGGGCAGCTCTCCAGGACACCAAAGCGCCACTTTAGCAGCAACGACAAAGGCAAAAGAATATTGCAGCAATTATTCTTTTTTTTTCTTTTCGTTCTGGTGTGTGACTGCTGGTTACCAAACTCTGCCATCAATCAGGGAACCATTTTTCTCCTTTGCAGGTTTGCCAGGCAGCAGAGTTCCCTTTCAGCTAACCTTTCAGTTAAAAGCTAAGTTTAGTTGCCTTTAGAGCTTGTGCTTCCCAATGTGATTAACCCCATCGATGTCCGGCCGTGTAACCACGACATTGCTGTGTGTGGATGTTACAAATCTGTTTTTTCTGTTGTTTTTTTAGCTTTTAGGTAACCCAGCCTCGGCAGGACGGCCTGACAGGGTGGAGCACGTGGGGCGAAGGTCCTCCCATGGCAGTGCAGTGCCACAAAGGTCTCGGCCAGTGTTGGTCCCTTCCATGGGTTAGTTGGACAGATTGGTGCATTTCTGTTCTTTGCAGCCTCAGAAATGGGAAGGAAATCCTTAAAAATGGAACAGGAGATGCTTGAGTTGAGCAGGCTGCTCTTAGTTTGAGTGGGGGAAATGGGCTGAAAACACCTCCAAATAAATGGGTGTGCTGGGGCTTTCCAGGGCTTGGCTTAGCAGTCATCAACATTTTGGGGGTCTTTTCATTACATTTAGTGGCATTTGGAGCTTTTTTCAGCTCAGTTAAGCTGGGATGCTGTTAGATCTCACCTAAAGGAACCTGCTGGCAGTTWCCCTGTGCTCAGGGAAATGAGTGCAGCCATTCACCATCCTTTCAGCAGTGCATCCTTCATTCATCATCTGGCATTCACTTTCYGTTCTCTTGACTGCTTTTTGGAATTAAGCAGGGGAAGTGGAAACTGTTTAATGCAATAAGTTTGTAGAATTTGTATATATTTACTAGATTTGATATTCCTGACAGTAATCTCTATTCTGGTTTAATGATTATGCTGGTGACTTCCAGGARATCCAAAAAGTAGTGCAGAAAAGGKAATGGAATCAAGACACTGCAGACAAATCCRTATCTGTTCAAACTTGCACTGAAAATGGCAAATGAGAAACGTTCCCCCTGAAAATTGGGAAATGCATGGAAAACAAATGCAGAAAGAGTTTTGTGAGCTCTTCATGGACATTTCCTCCATGAGGATGTGAGGTTGCTCTGGTTCCTGTCCCTGATCTGRGCTTTAGTTTGTGAGCAGTGAGCATTGCCCTGAGGTGAAGGAAGCAGTGAAAGGCAGCTCTCAGGGGCTGTGTAAATAAGGGATGTAAAAATGGGGATTGAGGTTTGGGGTTTTGTCACTGAAATGCCAAACATGTTCCAGATATTCACTGGGGTAGTTGGACGATGAGGCCAACTTGTGTTACTGAATTGTTCTTTCCTGAATTTCACAGATGGCTACGGTGGTCAYGACCATCTTTCTCCAGATATTTATGAAGAATCTGAAACAGATCCTGGCACAGAAGATATTTCTACTCGAATCTTTGTTGCACTCTTTGACTACGATCCGCTGACCATGTCCCCAAACCCTGATGCTGCTGAAGAGGAGCTGCCATTTAAAGAGGGACAGATCATTAAGGTGAGCTCTGAAACCAAAGGAAAATAATGACAATTTTGAACCCTGTGTGAGCAGAATCCCAGGGGTTTTTCCCTTCAGAGGTTGAGGCTGTAAATCTCACTGGATCTGCAATTTAATATCTCCTGTAAATGGCTTACACATAATTACCAAATGGGCAAAAATCTCAGAGCTGCTGTAAATAGTTAGGGCCAGACTTCATTAAAGATTAGGTTAAGCCCAGGTAGTGAGTCTGAAATTCCCTCTGTCCATTGCCACAAACCCTGCAGGAAAAGCTGCTCCAGAGGGGATGTTTTTGCTGTCAGGATCACAGAAATGCTGAGTGTTGTATCTTGTACAGACCAGAGCTGCTGCAGTTTCCGAGTGCTGAGCACTCCCAGCACACTCTGGATTAATCCTAGCTCAGGTTTTGTGCTCCTTTGGTGTCTGTTGGGTGCAGAGCATTGAGCAATGCCCAGGAACCCGCGGCTCCTGCAGGTGCTGGGTGCTGGTTCTGTCAGAATTTCCATCCCTCCTCCATCCCTGTGTGCTCCTCTCTGCAGCTGCAGATCTGCTCAGATTGAAAAGGCAGCAGATATTTCTGTGGAATCAGCAGCAGTGAGTGTTCCCTGCTGCTGCAGAGGGCAGAGAGCAGCGAGGCACAAGGAGCTGCTGCTGCAGCCTCGGGGTCACTGAGATTCCAGCAGCATCTGGAGCAGAACCTGAGAAAAATCCCCCCTGAGCATCCCCAGTTCAGAGAGAAAACTGGAACTGGGCTGTGGAGATTCCTGTCCCTGCCTCGGGCTGCCTCTGTCTGTGCCCAGCTCAGTTTCAGTTTTTGTGCTGTTAAACACTGTTCAGTATTTTGCTGACCTCACATGGTTTATGCCRAAGAAAAGGAATTTGTTCAAAGGCTTCTTTTCCTTTTCTAGAATGTGCATTTAATTCGGGCATTTTTTTAAACCTTAGATCATGTTTTCTCACAAGACTCTGACAGAGCAGGAATACATATATTGAGTATATTATGTATTAAGTAATCATTTTTGATCATATAGGAGTTGTTTGAATCAAAATCATAAYACATTGGCACAATTTTGCAAATGTTTCCTTTTGAATACAGTGCCATAATAATTCCATAAACATCAAATACACCTCTGGCTCAGTTCAGGGAGAAAGTGATGATTTTTAATGCACTTTTTATGCCTTCCACTGCTTGCAAAAAAAGGTCCAAATTCTGCTTMTGTGTCTAAAGTCACAATTCAAATAAATGTAACAATTCCAGTTTTACAATCTAAGTCAGAGTAGCCCAAAATGAATATAATTCCACAGCTAAACTGCAGTCATCATCTGTGCTTTAGGAGCCCTTTGGCCTGCACTGACATTCCTGAATGCTGAAACCTTCCTGACCAATATTGTCATTGTTTGGGTCCAGGTTTATGGGGACAAAGATGCTGATGGGTTTTACCGTGGAGAAACCTGTACAAGAATTGGCCTTATCCCRTGTAACATGGTCTCTGAGATACAAGCAGACGATGAAGAGATGATGGACCAGCTCCTTAAACAAGGTTTTCTTCCTTTGAACACACCAATTGAGAAAATCGGTAAGAGATTTCAGACATTTCACCTCTGGCTGTTGTTCACTTGGCTGATCCACTTCACCTCTTGATTTTGTGCAGATCATCTAAACTTTGGAGCTGTTGAGTACCCCGGGGGATTCATTCTGTATCAGTTTCTGGATGACTTTATACAACTCATATTTAATCTTGGTGATATAATTTACTGTAAATGGGGACTTGCAGCTTCACCATCCCACTTGTTGCTTTCTTTTCTGATTAAAAAAAAAAATGGTGTGTTTTCTCACTCACCTGAAAGATTTTTGGGCACAGAAAATGATCCCTGAGCTTTGSAGTCTGCTGTGCACAGCAGCTTGGAATAAAGAGAACCAGATTAATTATATTAATTTATGGAACGTGCAGGGTTCCACATCCTTTATCTGTGTTTGCAGCTTTGGGTACCCGTGGTTTTTATCCTGTGCTGAGAAATGCCCCCATGGCTGCTGCACGCTGTGCCAGGGGTGTCAGGGACAGTCACCCCCTTTGTCCTTTCCCAATAACTTTGATCCCTCCATCCATCCCCTGGAGCAGAGAGAAGCCGTCGGGGTGGCCGCCAGCAGCCGGTGAGCACCAGGAGGATGGTGGCCCTGTACGACTACGACCCCAGGGAGAGCTCTCCCAACGTGGATGTGGAGGTAGGGCCAGGCCAGGGCGGGTCCCCGTGGGCTCAGAACCCCAAATGCTGCTCAAAAGCACAAATTGTGTCAGAACCCCAAATGCTGCTCAAAAGCACAAATTGTGCTCAGAACCCCAAATGCTGCTCAAAAGCACCAATTGTGCTCAGAACCCCAAATGCTGCTCAAAAGCACCAATTGTGCTCAGAACCCCAAATGCTGCTCCAGGGCTCTGAGCAGGGGTGGGTGACAGAATTACAGCTCCTGGACACGCGGATTTATGGGTCTGCTCCAAGAAAACAGAGGAGAATCCTCTGTAGGTTTTATGGCTGAACACGTTGTAAAGCCAGCAGTGCCTGTGGATGGATATGTTAAATATGTTACATATRTTACATGTGCTATATGTGTTATATGTGTTATATATACTATGTTACATATGTTATATGTGTTATATATGCTATATATGTTACACATGTTGCATATGTTATATATTTTATATATGTTATATATGGTATATATGTTATATATGTTACATATATAAGTGATATGTTACATATGTTACATGTATTATAAGTTATATAAATTATATACGATACATATGTTACATGTTACGTATGTTATATATGTATGTTACACATGTTATATCTGTTACATGTGTTCCATATGTTTGATATGTTATATATGTCACATGTGCTATTGCAGTACACGTGTGCATCTGTGAATGTAGCCAGTCTATGAGGAGAAAAGCGCAGTCAGAAGCAGCAGGGAGTTTTTATTTTCCCGTTTCCTGTGGATGTTTTTTGCACATATGAACGTTGTGATTTTGGAGAAGCGCCCCAGCTCATGCCAAGCTGTCAGTCCATGTGCTTTCAAACCTCTGCAATGTCCAAAAATGCTCCCTCCTTTGCGACAGCCTAAGCCAGAGTGATGCACGGGAGCAGCACTCACAGAATATTGTGGTTTTCTCTTAATCAGTGCCGCTGAGCTTGGGTGATTTTCTGCCTTGGCTGTAATTTTCATTTTATAATGATGTAAAGATGCCTTTAACAGCTTGTCCAGGTTGTTCAAGGCCTCAGTGTCCAGGCTGGTGGTCACAGGGAGCCCTGTGGGTGTCTGGACTGCAGTGGGAGGGGTGCCAGGGTAAAGCTGAGCAAAAAACCCCAAGGAGGAAAAAAAGAGTTTGGCTTTCAAACATCACTTTGATTTCACCAATGTCTTAACATGAAGGAGTGGGGTGAAATGTTTATGGATTTACTGTTAACAAAGGAAAGTTGATCTTTGGCTGACACCTGCCTGTGCYTGCTCTTCCCTGCAGGCTGAGCTGACCTTCTGCACTGGGGACATCATCACCGTCTTTGGTGAGATTGATGAAGATGGATTTTACTACGTGAGTTGGCTTTGGTTTGATCACCCCAGACTGTTCTGAGCTGCTGGAGCCCCTCCCCAGCCCCAGTTACCCACAGCAGTGGGGAGGGACAGACCATGGGCAAGGCTGTGAGCTCTGAGAGTGCCCAGGGACCCGGGTGGGAATTTCATCTTTGACATAGGCCAGAATATTTCCTGAGCTCCTTGGGAACCTGCAGGTGACTGAATTAGAGCATTCCCTGAAACTTGCACCTCCTGCAGGGTGAACTCAACGGCCAAAAGGGGCTGGTTCCTTCCAACTTCCTCGAAGAAGTGCCTGATGATGTTGAAGTCTTTCTATCCGATGCACCCTCGCGCTACGTCCATGACACACCGATGCGATCAAAAGCAAAAAGGGTAAGCAACCGACCTAGAAAAACTTAAATTTTCATTTCCCATTTCATTTTGTCTCATATATAATTTAGACATTACTTTTAACATTACTTTKAAATTCATTTGCCCATTTAAAATTATCTTTCAAATATATAAAACAAACCATGAGGAGAAATGACTTTAGCCTTGGCTAGCTCGTTACATTTGTAAATGGAGAAACTAAATTGACTGTTYCATTGCAGTCATTACAGTACCTGCCATTATAATTTGAATTTAAGCAGCTCTTCCCTGGTGGTAGTTATTTCCCAGAGCTTCTAAACTGCTCTCACTGCCAAAGTTCTYGTGCACAAAAGAGTGGTACCAGTGTTCCTCTAAATACAAACTGTAACTGCAGCTGATGGACTGACAGAGGTTTTAACCCTTCTGACTTCCCCTTCCAACTGGCGGTAGTTAATTGCTCAGACACTTCTCTTTTATGAAAGAATTAATCATGTTTAGAGTATCTCGTTTTTGGTTTTGTTTCATCACTGCAATACTTTTATATATTATATATTTTATATATATTTTTATTTCTTTGCTCATCTGCTTGGAAACAGAAGAAGAGTGTTCATTTCACACCTTAATAAGGCAATGTAGCCTTCACGTAAGTGAGCAACTGAAGATACCAATAGAGATCTCAATTAAAGCTACCTGGCTCTCTAATGCAAGTCTTGAAACTTAATTGTGGGGGAAAAGAAAAGAAATATGTCTCCAAAACCCTTGGCCACAGAAGAACAGGCTGCATGCCTTTGCTGTATCTAGTCAAGTCCAATCCTTTCTTAGGAGACAAATCCTTTAAAACAGGAATCCTTGGCAGTCAATTCGACCTCACTYGATGAAGGTCAGCGTTTGGAACATATTTCTTCCCGAGCTCAATGTTTATGTTTACATAGAAAGGAGAGTTTGATGTCTAACTACCCTACAAACAAAGCTGCATATTGCATTGTTAGCCAAGCTGGGATGTAAAATTCCAAGCTCCTGTGTCAGAGAAAAGCACAACAGCTCCAAAACCCTTCCAGAAATGCCAGAGAGGGCACGCTGATACGGACAGTAGCTCACAGGGGTAGAGTTGGTTCTGAACTCATTACACTCAAATCCAGCTACTTAATTGTCTGCCTTAAAACGTGTTTTCCACAATCGATTATAGCCCAGTTTGCCTAAGACCAACTGTTCAACACTTCTGAAAACAATCCCTTCCTATGGCACAATTTACTCGGATTTTCCTAGCGAGTGTACATTTGCAATATTAGCAACTGTTTGGTTTACCAATGCAATAAAAGTCTCGACCTGAAACATGCAGCTCACTGAATGAATGAATGCATTAGACTCAATATCTGGTATCTTCAGGTGTACGTTGGGGTGCTTTACCAAGTTGTTTTGGTTTGGTTTTGGTTTTTTTTTTTTTCATTAGAATTAGACCTTGATTTAAAATCAAAGTAGGCTTGAAGGCCCTTTGCTTAACTCACTGCACAACAAGCCAGTAAATCGCTGATGTTTTAACTTGAGCTACAAGCTAGCAGGRCTCCCTACAGCATGGATTCTACTCTGAAAATATCATCTCAATTGATAGTAACCATTTTGCCAGCTGGGCACTGTAGTTAGGATAGGCTGACTATAAGTAATTTTAGCATTTTCATCCAAGTGCTTTTGATGACTGAAAAAAAAAAAATAGCTGTTCAAAATATTTAGGAATGCTGTCATCTAACAACCTCATAGCTGCAGCATACACATCAAGCAGTCAGGGTCTTTAAGCTTTCTTTGATTGCAATTAAGGTTCATTTTAGCTTTTTCTTTTTCCTTTTTTTTTTTTTAAGCCAGTGTGCCATCTTCTCTAATCTGTACATAAAGTTTGCTAGCCAGTTTTAAAGAAAAGGCATTTAAAGGACATTAAAAAGTAAGTGATCATGTAGCATTTTAAGTAATTTCTTCTGGAAAGAGTTTGGCTTCTATAGATTGCTAATCTGTCCTAATTAACACTTTTATTTTTCTTAAATCTATAGCTAAAAGTATCCCTGTCCATTTTAGTACTATCAGAGTACTGAAATGCAAAACCAAAGCCAGTTTTGTGGCTTTTGTGGCCAGATTTATGGCAAAATAAGTGTATCCAACTTTTCCTTTAAAAATGTATAACCAAAACAGGGCTTTATTGGTGGGCTTTTTATTGTCTATATTTTTTTTTCTCTAAATTGATATATTTTCCATAAGCCCACACTGTATTTTAAACCAGAGARAAGAAAGAAACCAGCCCTTTTGCTTAAGTGGGTAATGGGACAAGTGATGTTAGCAACTTTCTTGCTGCTAATAGCTTTGAAGCTTTCAAACATTSAATAAATGATAACAATATACCTACTAGGTTCCTCCTGAGAATACAGGTACATCCCGGAGAGCACCATCCCCCACAGTTCATCTCCATTCTGGGTCACCTCCGTCACCTATGMTGGGTTCTGGTAGTCCCGGGAGAGGCAGGGATATGTCCTCGAAAAAGAAAAAGGGGCTGCTTTCCAAAGGCAAGAAACTGCTGAAAAAGCTTGGTGCAGTGAAATGAGTCATGTGCTCCTGGACAACTTGTAAAGCTTCCAGTCTGTGTATTTTTTTTTTTTTTTAAGTCAAAACTAGGGCTTTCATGACTATGCAGTACTTTACCAGACCTTTGCATTTTAACTCTGACATCAGTAGAATCATGTGAATTGCTTAATCAAAACAGCAAGAAAAAAAAAAAAGAAGTGGATTTGTTGTTGCAAAACCTTTTTTAAAAAAAATAAAAAAAAATGTTGTGGGATTAAGACCAGAAGAACATAGTTTTATTTGAAGTCAACTCAACACCTGCAACTCCATTGGAAAAATGTCAGCCTTTAGTCTCCTTTAACCATGARTGGGGGGAGAAAACTCTCTTCAGATTCCTAATTCAGAGAGATCACCCCAGCGTATCCAATCATTATCATAACAAAAATGGTCTTGAAACTCCTAGTTTAATCAGCCTTGATGTTTTGCCTTATTAATGCACAATGATTTGTACTGTCTAATAAATATGCAGCGTATACTTTGTATGTACTGTGTACTCAACTGTCTCCATCTCCCCTCCACACGGTGGTTTCAGCTCCAGTACTCTGTCACTGACTCCATTCAATGTCTGATGTAACTCCTGGGAGTTTGGAAGTGCTGTGCTAAATGCTTACRTTTTTGTTTTTGCTTCCCCTCACCCCCAAAAACAGAACTTTGTATTGATTTGTCACCGTTTTCACTCCACTGAAATCAGAGCCAGTGTAAGTTATTCAGAACCTCACCCAGTTTCAACCACACGAGCTCCACTTTTGGGGTGCCTGGTTCATTGTTCTAAGCTACTGGGAAAAAAAACTACTCCACACCCAAACCCCCTTCCTCCCCAAGTTTTTTTCTGTGGAGGTACAGTCCTAAGTTAAGAGGCATTTTCATATTGCTGATGTTAGATTCAAGCTAAAGTACGTCTAAAAAGGACAAACTGTTGCAGACACAGCCACAGCCAGTAACGAGGCTGCACCAGGCTCTAATCAAATCTGAATTGCAATATTGGCCTAGCAAGAAAAACARTCTTACACACTGATGGCAGTCATTGGCTGTTACTATTTTGTAATTCTTGTCCATTTGTAAATTGTTTTTACTGTTTATACATACTTTTCAGACTGCCTTTCTTTTTGTAATTTATGGAAGGTTTATAAATGAATGATCAAAGCTTCCCCATTGTGTCTTCAGATAACAATGTAAATTACTGTAAAATATTGTGTGCTAGATTATAACATTTAATTAAAGAAAATAACTGGCCTACATTTGTGGTAAAGTACTGTGTGGGTGTGTGCATGTGTACAATCGTTGTGTATTATATTTTATATAAATAAATAATTTGATATTTTGTAGAGTGCAGTATGTTTCATAAATCCACTGCATCAGCTGCTGGCTTCCTGGGTCAGCCTTTTTTCCAGAACTGTCAATGCCTGCTGAAGTTACTGTAGGATAAAGAAAGGCTCACCTCTGTGCAAGACTGCACGAGCTTCCCCGAGATAAAAAATGGTTGCAAAGTTACTCCAGCAATTGTCCTATCTGTGCCCAAAGCCCAGGGTGAAGTACTTAAACCAATGCATGCAAACAGGCTCAAACGAGCAAGAGTACAGCAACAACTTTATTTAAATCTCACAAAGAAAAGCAACAAGTTCACAACAAGTTGGTTAAGAAAACCAGCACTAATCCAAAATTTCCATGTGCAKCAATCTGACTGTCCTACTGCAAAAATCTGAAATCAACTTCCACCCCTGCACCTGCTATTGTTTTACAAACTGGACTGCAGAACAGTTACCAATGAAAACCTCAGTGTGAACAAACCAGGGCTGCTTCCCATTGCTTGGAACTACAAACCAAAAAACTCCAAACCTTGTCAGTGCACCGATAGTCCTTGATGGAAATGACTTCCCATTTAACAAGCATGTGGTTAGAGCATCAGCCCAGCTCCTGTGAGTGATGGATGTGCAGCACCTAAAGCAGTTTCCTCCCTCTGTGTGGTAAATATGAAGCTGCAATGCAGAAGCACATCCCCAGGCCTGTCCCCTGTCAGGCTCCCCGTGCTGCAGCTGCACTCAGCTCAGTCACAGGCACACCTTTGGCCTGGCTAACCAAGGAGCTGACAGCTCTGATCTCACAGTGGCACACACAGATCCTCACCTCCCTCCCTCTGCTCCCAGGGCAACTCAAACCAGCACAAGGGACGTGTTGTTCTGGTCATTGTGAGGGAATTGCAAAGTAACAACTGTTACAAACCCTTCCAGAGGTTTTGCATCACTCTGCAGCCTTAAAACAAAGCCCTGCTAACCAACAACGCCTGATTGCCTCCTCTTAAGGTATGACAGTTCAGGAGACAAAATTCTGCCCTCATTTTAACAGCCAACAAAAACAAGGAATCAACAATATTGAAGCATTTTGAAAATTAGAAGGGTTAATGTGCCAGCTGGAAAAGCTTTGATTTTGGTCTGCATAACTCTATTTCATGCAAGAAGTAAGACTTCCCAAAACGTAAATGAGAACAACCAATAAACTTTTGTGAAGATGACAAAAACTGTGATACTTACTGATAATTAATAAATAAGTATCAGAACTCATTTGCATGGTTACYTCTACCAAGCTGTTAAAAATGCAGATCTCAAGCTTTTCTGTGGTACAAAGAAAGTAAGCTGCATAAGTGCACATATCCTGTGCACATCTCTTACAAAAAACCAAATATAAACTAAAAGCCCAGACAATTCTACATTCCCTAGAGAGGAACTACACTTGTTTGGCTGGTAACTCAACTTCAAAGATAGTACAGTCTGTCTGAAAGCATCAGATTTGGTTCTCTGTGAATACTCTGACCRACAAGGAAAGCCAATTTATGAGCATATTGGCAAGGAGCAGGTACTCTGATAATACCCTGCARAAARGGGAAAAAAGAAAAAAGGCAATTATTTCATGTAATTTAAGAAAGCATGCACTACTGTAACAAAGACCCCTGGAATTCCAAAGTCTGCACACATGCAGAATTTGTATTCCCTGGTGTTTATGCTGATTTGTGACAATAACTTACATAAACCCAACACAAGACTAAATGCAAAAAAACCCCGAACTTCCCAACTCCARTCCCCTCCCTACACTTCTTACCCAGGTTTGCATACATTGCTGGGCCTTGCAGAAGGTGGGACATGGTTCAATCATGTCTGATATTTATGACTGCTAAAGTGACAAAGCTGAAGCACACCTGAGGCACGAGCTGCCCATGTGCTCACCCTGGTGTGCAACAGAGGCCTCAAGGGAAATGCAGGAACATAGTTCCAACTCCACATAAAGGAGCAAAGATTTCTGCAGCTAAGAAATTCTTTTAATTTTGCTTCTGCCACAGAAGTTGGGAACAATACTCCAAACAARTATTTGCTAGTGAGAATAAAGACTGCTGCAATCTTCAGAGAGATCAGGTAATTATAAACCCCTGAGTTCTCAAATCACTGCAGGACCCAAGGCATCCTTGCAGGCTTTTTGGAGCTGCCTGGGTATTTTAGGGACACCTGTTCCTACATTGCTGCAGGCTGGAAGTGCCCAGAGATGCMCTGTGGCCTTGCCCAGAGCAAACACTCACCGACCAGTTGTAGTACATGTGGCAGAGTTTGTAGGTTAARCGCTGCACGTGGTCTGGTTTCAGCTGGCTGGTGTCATAAATCACATTGTAATGAGTTGGTGCAACACAGCCATTCTTCACTGTCTGGCTCACAATAAAGAAATCGTACCTGGAAGAGGAAAGCAAACCAGACAACGCTTTACAGAAAGGGCTGGAGAGAGCTGGAGGAACATGGATGATCTTATATGGAGCAGGTCTTGAGACCATAACAATCTGAACTATTTCCTCCTGATAACCACCCTGCACATGCMCATATATTCCTCATTTTCTCCAGCCCCCTGAGCCACAGAAGTGTGGAAGGYATTTTTTACTTGATCCTCTAGTCCACGTAGTATTGGATCTATTTCCTTTATGATAAGGCTGCTGACAAATGGAGTAAGTGTTCCCTCCACAGTAACTTACCACTCGGGTCTGGTAACCACAGTATCAACAACAGTCCCAGGGGGTGGGTTTTTCAGTCCTCCACCCATCTCAGCAAAGAACCTGGCACCCACTCGTTTCTTCACTACAATCACAGTAAGTCTYGGACTAAAAGAAAGGAAAAAAAACCCAACTCTCCTGGAAAACTCCACTAAGAGTATTTCAGGAGCARATTTGCTGGAGTTCAAGGGCATTAATTTCACATATTACTGATTCAGATTAAATACAGTTCACAATCTTAGATTTTTAGTTGAGTGCAACTCTCATACTATTTTTTACCAATCCAAATTTCTTTTAACTTTATTGAGGAGTAGAAAATGGACCAAAAAGGGATCTTCTAAATACAGATTGGATTTCTACTCTCTACCCCATTGTTTCCTGTAGAAAACATTGTGTCTTAACAGCATTTTGGTAAAGCCATTAACATGTAAATAATCATCAGAAAAGCAGTTATTTGAGCTCAGGTGAAAATCAGTCAGGATGAAAAGACCAGAGTCTTTATCCATAGCCTCGTTTTATATCCCAGTGTTTACTTCTCTTGCAGTATAAAGAAGAGGGTTGATAGAAACAGATTTACCTGTAGTCAGTACCAATACTCTTCAAGCAATCCAGAAATTGAGGCACTTCATAATTAACCAAAGTATTGAGTTGTCCATCTCCAACACCATCACGATACACAAAAATACGAGAGGGCAAACACTTATTCCACTTGGACCAGTTTCTTAGGGCAGCTTAAAGAAGAAGAAAAAAAAGCCACTATAGTAATGACAATTCATTCCACAATAAAAATGGATTTTTATTCCTAGAAAAACAGCAATGAGCTGGAAAACTAAGGTCCTCAATCTTTCAGTAATGTGGAATGGGCCATAACTACTACCAGTAGGAAGAGCTCTGGCTGGCCTGTGCACCCAAACAAACAAAGGAGCCAGTGAGACACCTGCTCCCCTGGCATCTCTGACAGCAGAGACTGCCCTGCTCAAAATCAGAGCCCCTCAAAGCACTCTTGGCAGTGCACTGCTAAGCMGTTTTTAATTATTGCAAAGAAACGTGGGAATCAATGAAAAATTTACACAAAGTGCTACTAATTTTCAGCAGTATTTATRACTGAGTGTTTAATCTGTAGTTATSTAAGTGCAGTTGGGTAATGCCTCCCCTCAAGGCAGCAGGGAAGGTGTTTTGAGGAAGATGAATTGTCAGTTCTTAGATCTGACTCCACGAGAGCAGAAGCCCTTCCCTTACTTTGCAAACAGGCTTTGATTCCATCCACAAGTTCTTGCCCACGACTCTGAACAACGCAGCGGGAGAACCATCTGTGAAGAACAAAATAAAAGAGACCTTCAAAGCATTTCCCAGGCTYACTGCAATGAAGTTGTTTTTAAAAYATCCATGACCACCTAGTCTTTACAGGTGTTGTGGGTCAGTGCAGCCAAGAAGAGTTAGGGTTCTGTGAGAATATTCCCCCATGGTAAAAGTGCCTTAGTATGACTTCAAATTCCTCTCAACCAAAAACAGCCTTTCATACAAGTCAACTCAAAAGGGGAAAGAACCTGTCACCCTATTGATCCCAGCCCTTGCTTCACCATTTGACCCCTCTCCCAAGCAATGTAGGAAAAGGACAAGGCTACTCCTTCAAGGGATGCAGTGGAAAAAAATCACAATACATTTAACAATTACAGCAAACCAATTCGGAATTTTCCTGATGGACCACCATATTCAAGCTWCTTTGCAGTCAAAGGAAAGCTTTGTTGGTTTTATTTTGGTTAATTATAGTTTGGGAGTTTTATTTGCCTTTGGCATTCCAATCTTACCGTGTCACAGTTTGATTCAGGCTGGCGACAAACCCCGCAATGGACTGCTTTCCAGAGACAGTGTCATGGTAACAATCAATGCCCACAATCATCACCTGCTTCAGCTGCAAGGCAATCACACACACAGCATGGGTTAGTGCTGCAGGGAACAGGAGCACGACAAGCTCTATGGTTTCAGGATACCTCTGATAAAAAAATACTTACTGGGATCTCAACACTCCAGAGTTCTCCACCCATTTTACAGTTCATTTGCAGGGCAATTTTTGTTGCCACAGTCATTATTGTCTGTGGTTTGCTCAAAGTGCGAGCAAGCACACACTGACTGGGGACAGGACAGTCTGTACACAAGTATTTCTTGATGGCATCATATTTATCCTTTCGTGAACTAGACAGAATACAAACTACCTTGGAAGAAAGAAAAAAAATCTTTGTAAGAAGCTGCATTCTCAGATTTATAAAGCATTTAAGAGCTCTTYAGGAGAACTTCTTATACTCAAGGGAAATATTCAAATATTCAGTGAAAGAAATAACAGCAAAGTTTCAGTGTCTGTACTTCAGAAGCAAAGGCTCTTATCCAGAAGGATACCCATGCTGAGTCTTAGGTTTGCACAGGAGGATRAGCAGGTACATAGTGGATTCTCAGCAGCCCAGAGTAGAGAGCAAATCCCACTAAACACCAATGACAGGGATTAACATGATTTGAAATAATGGATTCAAATACATACTATGTTTATGTCAGGGGTAACCCTTTGCTGTAAAACCCTTAAATACGCCTCTGTTCTATCATCTACTTCAATCCTGCAAAGAGAGAGAAAATGCTTATAGAAAAACAAGCAACAGCTACTGAAGCTTCAGCAAAAATATAAAAGCTCACTATGCATCAAAGGTGTATGAAATGTCACATTTATAGCTATTAACAAACATACACTATTCACACATTTTGAAGATTAGAAGGAATCACCTCCAACGTAGGCTTCTAAACACAATGGAATTCGAAGTTAAAGGCAAGCACAGGTACTCAAGGGAAGATATTTGCAATGAGRACAGATCAGAATCCAATCTAAGTCAGCAGGAAAATATTCCTAAGAGAGGGGTTTGCTCAATGACTGTCTAATACTTCTTAGTTGTGGCATAAGAAAAGTTCTCAAAAATGAAAAGTATGAGTAAGAAAAGTCAAGTCACAAGAGAAAACGGAACAATCTGCATAATGAAAGAATCTCACAGAAGCCGGTTGTGTGACACACCCCATCCTCTCCTCAYTGAATAGCCTAAAGATGGCAACAGRAKGGTTTTCCACCAGCTTTCTGAAGACACTCACATGTTTGGCTTACTCATCCTGATGCCCATGGATGGGGTGACCTTGAAGAGGCTCTGCAGGAGGGTGTTGGCCACGTCGTAGTTGCGGCGGGTGTAGATGAGCAGCCAGCTGTCCACGGGCACCGCGCGGATCAAGGGCACGCCCCGCGTCTCCTTGGTCCAGTCAGCAAACTGAGGGTTGTAATCAAACTGCAGAGACAGCAAAGAAAGCAAATCAACAACTGCCAAACAACCTGCACCACAACCCCTTCCTGATTACTGGGAAGTAATTAGAAACATCTCTAGTCTCCTATATCTGTGTATCTGGACAGAAGGACTGTTTGGCAAGGAAGACWCTGCTGTAATGGAGTGCCTTCAAGAGTTTCCAACTAGAACTTGGGAACAATTAAAAAAAGTTTGCAATCTCCTGCTTGGACAAAGTCTGGTGCATAACATTTCCACTCTTTATCCTTGACTTATAAGCCAAAAAGTATTATTTCCTTCCTTAAGAACTTGTTTCATCAGTGAGACACCCAGAAGATTTTAATAGTTGATTTATTTACCATGTTTCCTGATTGAAAGATCTTTTCTCCTTGAACAACTCTTCCTGTAAAGGACACTGATTTATAATCAAAGCTTAAACCCCAGTTTCGGAGCTCCTTCTGAACATTGTCATCTCTGTTTAAAAACAAGATTTAAATTAAAAACRTAAGAAATCTGTTCTTGCTGACTTTTCTTTTATAAAACTAGTAATATTTCAGAAGTTTTGTTGCAAGAAGTTAATGACACAAATTTTTCACAAGCCAGAAAYAGAGGATGTTAAGGTGCCATACTTTTGGATGTAGTTCAGAAGCCTCCCAATCTCCCTCTGCCTTTGCTCAGGGGGCAGCCGTGTGTGAATGGCCAAGTCTTTCATCATACTGAAATCACTGCGCATCTTGTCAGTYAATCCTGCAAACAGCAAAGCCTTCTTCTCAGTCAAAGTTAAGACTAAGGMCTATGAAAATTAAACTTGCAGGTTGTGCAGATTAATGATATATGTCCTGCAGGTACAGGAGTGGTGACAGTAGTAATCAAACTTTTCAGTTGCTTCTTGTACATACATTCCCATTGGCATAGAAAAAAAAATTCTGGATTTTTGCCTTTGAGAGGAAACCACACAAAGCATTGCAGCTTTTCATATACTTTTTCAAATCAAAACAAAACAGTGCTGAGATGGACAGGTTCTGCTAGCAGTGAGTATCTCAGAGTAAAGATACATAAATATGTATCTTACAAAATTACCCATTTCTAGTAATTTTGTCTTTTTCAACAGAAGCTCTACCACCAGAACTTTCAACAAGTTATCAGTATGCCAATGTTTAACACCAAACCTAAACACTATGCAACATCAACTCCCCTTGAACTTTCCAGTGCCATTTAAATACCTTATCTTTCAGCTACAAGAAGCATTCCTAAACTCACATTTATACAAAGTAATTCTCCTGAACTTGGCAAAAGGCTACTGCCAGCAWTCCTGTTTCAATCAGCATTATGGTATGACAGATGCTTTGATATGGAAAAATGCAACAGTACCTGTWAGGGAGCAGAGCTCTGGAATCAGAGCCACAGTTCCTTGTATGTTCCCTCTAATCCTCTTCATCTGACTCATCAAGACAGGCTGCATCCAATCACTAATTTCTATGTTGTATTGCTGTAATAGAAATACAGACTGTATGTTAGTTTACAGGAGTAAACAAACAAGCAGTTTTCTGAATAATAATRYTCAYTTTMKAAARTGARYATTTTTTCTAAAACAAACAAAACCTAAGGCAGCTAGTAACCTTTTTCAACTAGCATATCTGAGAGGAACTGGTTTTGTCAGAAAACCACACAGGGAAGTACTGTTCTGTTTACTGGTGCCATCAAACTATTGACTTGTAAGAGACAACAAAAACCATTTGTGCCTTGCTTCAGGCAGCATCATCTGGAGTGGGCTCTGGCTTTCCTAAGCCCAGCTCTGCACGCTGTGACAGTGTATCTGCATTCCTCTTGGATTATCTGTCCCTGTTTCCACCTTCCACATGCTTCCTTGCTCATGGTGTGGCCCTCCTGGCCTTTCTGCCTGACCAACTACTCACTGGGGTGGATCTCTCCCACCAACYCATGCTGCACAGCTTAGTTACTGATCTCAGATTACACAGTATGCTTTAAACAAAATTCTGTTGAAAATATTCTGAATTAGAAATCCATGCATGCTAAGTAAACCTGCAACAATGCTTGGATGTTCCAAGTTAAAGCATAAAACACACAGTGAAGTTTTCATACCTTTTTGTAGTACTCCACAAAGCTTATCTCAGAACCATCTGATTTTCTAAAGGTACTCTTTGGATTGTTATCCCAGTCGATGTCATCAATTCTGTATGTTCTGTTATTGTACCTACATAAACATTTAATGGGTTTTTGTTTMAATCTAAACTCAAATAGAAAAGAAATAAAACTGAAGGATGACAAAGTTAATCTCAATATTCATGTAAATTGAAAGTTTTGCTCCTTTCAAAACTAATAACTTCATGTTTTCAATAGGCTCTCAATTCTATCAAAAGCTGAACTGTAATAAAACCAAAAGAAAACCAGTGTGTACTTCCTGCTTTTGCAAATGCTGTCACCTTSATCAGTTTGCTAGCTTGACAATGACAGCAATTCCATGCTTTCTACTSCTTTACTGCACACTTCAGAACATGGAGCATAAAGAAATTTCTAAAACAAGAGTCCAAAAGACTTACTTTGTAAGAACAATGAGACCAATCAGCTCTTTAGCACAGGTGTCCCTGAATCTTTCCTCTCCAACCTGGGAGTGAAGGCTGTGCATTGTATCCAACACGGTCTCCCCACGAAGAACCTTATGGCTCACATCTGCACACAACATGATGTTCTCCTCATACTGGAGGATGGAACTTGTGAAGCCCAGCCACACCATCAGCCTGGAAAAAGAGAAYATACAAAATCTTCATGTGCTTTAGAACATCTTTATTCACACCCCTTATTCCTGTCCACTTCAACAGACACCAGAGAGCAGTGAAGGCACAAAGAAATCCTTATCTAAATATAAATAAACTCTTGTAGATTAGCCAAATAAATAGCTATTTTTACAGGTAAACTCAAGCCTGCCAACTTGCACAGCAGGCCCAGGGTCGACCAGAAGCACCAGGCACATTGTAGGGATCCTGGCAGGGAATGAGGACCCCACCYCACAGCCAGCAGCCCTTGGCCCAGCACCCCTCCCAAACTCAAGTATTTTTGCCAAACCTGTGATTAGGGATGCTGACTGGATCRCTGGGGTTGTAATAATTACGTCCAATCTGCTGCAAATTCAGCATCTTCAAAAGCCTAGAAATTGAAATGTGGATGTAGTTTAGCATTATTATTATTATTCAGTTTATCACATCATGCATGGTCCAATACCTATGCACAAACTCATTGTTCTCTGACTACATAAAACATGAAAACCCTTTTCATTAAACTCCATTTAGAAAGGTCATGGATACTTAATAATGACCAGAAGCTCTCATTCTTATTTATGATGAGAAGTTCACATACAASCCAACCCTTCACCAACCAGCTRAAGGTAGCAGCCCAAACAGGCTACRTCTCAGACAAACCACACAGTYCAGGTAYCATGGTTAAGTGGAAAGACTACAACCAAAAAAAAGCAATTTGCCAGTTCAATGTCCTGCTCCATTATTTGCTTTAAGAGGCAAATCCATACACATAAAAGGAGGGTAGAAATAGGACTAACTGCCTCCAGCAGCATGAACTCATTTCACACCAACATGAGCCAGAAATGCACAAATAACTGCACATTACAATATGGCCTGATGTGGTTGGAGACACAGTAACAGTAGCCAGAAAGGCTCAAAACTTTACATTGATAATACTTATATGTTGTAGCCTATTCCTTAAAATGGAAAAATTTAAGTCAGATATTTTTAGAATGACTACTTGTAACGACATAACTTGTACAGCAAACCTTCTAAAAATGATGTTGTAAAATTGCAGACAAGTAGGTGAAGTAGGTGGCAACTCATTAGTCAATGTAACTGTTATCTTCACATCCTCCCCATTTCGAGTCCTACTAAACAGTTCAGTAACCTGAGAAAGTAAAATGAGGTTAACAAAACTAGAGCAAACAGGGCTGTATCTGGATTTTGCTCCAGTARTATCAAACTGGACTTGTATACTTTCAGTCTAAGCAGTAATTCAAAACTAACTGAAATGTGGATTCAATCTCCTACTAGGACTGCAAACTACAACCTGAAAGGCTCTGCTCATCTGGGTGAAGACAACTCATGGGGTAGAGTGGGGCTATCCCAGAGSAGCTGAACTCAAGGTGAAGACAGRGAGATCACTTACCAATTACCATGACAGCAAAAAGACTCAGCTTGAGGAAATAAACTTAACAGATTGCCAACTAATATATATTTAATTACTGATTCAGGTACTGGGAAGCAAGAAGACAAAGATTAGCACATATAGTGAAAACATCTTCCCCCCTCCCTTTTCCAAAGTCAGCTTCACTCTGGACTCCTCTGGCCCCTCTGTGAACAACACTGCTACACTCAGTCATTCCAAGTGAGGCAATGAGTGGCACGAGGCACAGAGAGCTGGGGTTAGCATCAGTACAGAGTGTTTTCCCTCTGGTGCTCCTTTCTTCTCAGATTTTTTTCCCTGCATTTTAAATACACAGAGGTGCCAACAACTTTGCTGATGGGCTCAGCTTTGGCCTCGGATGGGTTCACTGTGAAGCTGGCCAGCAATTACTGTGTACAACACAAGCCAAACCCTGACCCCTCCTGCTACCAAAACCTGGCCACATACACCCAACTCATCCACCCTTTCAGTTTTGTGAAGTATTAAAATACAGAAGTTTTGAAGAGATGTAAGTACAAAGGAAACCAAAGGAGAAATACTGTCTCTACTATCCACTTCTGTACATGGGATGATTCTAGCCTGCAGAAATTAAGCAGCAGAATCAGAAGTTTATAACCAAATTTCTCTACACAAAAAAWTAGCTTACACTGAAATACTCAACCCAACTAAACACTGCTTGTGGGACATCAGTTCCCTAGCTAGTAAGAAAAAAGAAACATCGTAAAGGCAAGTCAAAGTAACAAATAAAATAGCATTCTCATAACATACCTTATTCTCTAATTTTTTTGGCAAGAATAATATTGAGCCATCAAAGGCATGGGTCTTYCCAATGTGCTCCTCGTGCTGGAAGAGCAGAGCGGAGCGCAGGCGCCGCGATTCCATCTCAGGGCTGTAGCCAACGTGGTACTGGTACAGAGCCCACTGCGGGCGCGATGTCAGGCGGAAGTGATTGGTGGTCAGTTTGATCATTCTTCCTGAAGAACCTTAAAGGAGAGGCAAACATGGTACAGTTACAAAATGTTACCAGCTTACAGCCATTCAACAGCTCTGAGAAATTGTTTTCAAGCTATAGCATTCTGTTATCAGACATTCTTCTGCCCACTGGATCTTTCTGTAAAGCCTTCAGTTGTCAGGAAAACTCCCTATGCTCCTCTTCAGGTGTCAGGAGTAACTTTTTATCTTTTTCTAATGCACTCAAAAGATTTTTTTACTTGGCTCTCTAAAGGAAACTAAGAGCAGAAATGAAGGAATCTATGTTTTCATTTCAAATTGCTTATATGTCTACAGTCTAATTCAAACATACCAGTTTTGGAYGCTTGAACATGTACCATGGCTTGCCGAGTATTCACCCCAAGGTCATGGAAATCTCTACGACGTCCACCCCTATCTCTTAAAGACAAATCCTGGAGTCCTGAAGAAACYTGTAATCCTGGAATTTTCAAATTTGAGGAAGAATCACAATCAAGTAACATGTAACTTGTTAACTAATACAAATMACAATCAAGTAATACAAAACTTGTTCGCTATTAACATAAACAGTATGTACTATATTATACAAATAAAAAATATATAATACAATTCAATCTTGAAAGGCATTAACAAAAATTTAACGGTAATCACAAAATGTTACATTATTACTAAGATTTGAAAGATCTGAAAGCAATCTCATTTTGAAAAGAAACAAGAGAAATACAATATAAAGAATATCTCAAAGGTATTGTTTTTGAAACACCTACTCTTGTGGACGCCGAATTTTTCRGCCTGCCCTTCCGGCCTTCTCTCCTGCAGAGCAGTGTCAAAGCTGCGCAGGTGCCCATGGCCCCCAGGCTCCTCTGCCTGTGCTGGAGGGACATGGAGCTGCTGGAGCTGCTGGGGCTGCCGGCGGCCGCGCAGCTGGCTGGGCACACTCTGCTGCACCTGTCACAGGGGGAACAGCCTTTCCTAGCACAGCTCAACAAACAGCACGCTTCCAGCAGTACAGTGAAACATTCACTAAGGACAGAATGGTCAAACTCTCCAGTGCAAGAGTTACATAACATTTTAAACCTTTTTTTCCGTATACCAAGTAGCAAAGTTATTACTCTACATTTAAAACTCAAGAATACTGGAGCATAGAAATTTTTTTTCTAAGTTATTATTCATTTAACTAACAGCTAATGAAAATCTASTCTTTACAAGCCCTAACTAAAATTTATGGACTTCTCATTTTCTATGACCCCTCAGATATTTCAAGACACTGAGCAGTTACTCTATAAAAACATATTTTTTAAATATTAGTGCATAGTGAATAAATAATATTAAAAAGTGTCATGGCTAGAAGAAATGCAACCTTCAGCCACAAGCAATCCCACAATTCAGAGTTTCATGTCACTGAAAACTTAATGCGGCGTTATAATAACTATACAACTAACAGAATACATGCATACACACGTGTAATATCTAACATATCTRCCTGACATTAAAACAGGAAGCAGTGTAGGTATGACATTTCAAATCCTGGTTGCATCCATTAAAAAGAAAACAAACTTACAGGTGCATCTCCTACAGWAGGAGGAGCAGATGCCTGTCTGGGAGGTCTTCCTCTGGCTCTAGCTCTTCCCGTCATCTTCTAAAACAAGCAAYCTACAGCATTAGTGGTCTATCTTCTCCTTCCCTATTGTTCTCCCAATAAAAATTATGAACAGCACTATTGCATTTGCCCTGCCTTAATTTCAACAGGCTCAGTAAAACACACCCGTCCCTGCAGAATTCTCAGCTCTGAGATGTCCACACTAACAGAGCCATACCGGGAGTGTCGGGAAAGCTCTTTCAGTCAGGTTTGCACCGACCAGCACAGGTTGATACAAACCCCGAAGCTGTTGAGTCGGTGAGACTGGAGAGCACGGCAGGAGCCGCAGCCTCAGCCAGGCCCAACTCAGGCCTTGGAGACGCCATTCGCGAGCAGAGCGCAGCCCACCAGAGCACCTGCGGCGCTGCGGCCTACTCAGTGCCGCCCACACCTGGCGCACCCTCCCCGCTCACAGCCCCCCTCCTGTCCCCGCGGGCCTGGTCCACCCTCTCCGCTCACACCCCCTTTCCTGTCCCCGCGGGCCTGGCGCACCCTCTCCACTCACAGCCCCCCTCCTGTCCCCGCGGGCCTGGCCCACCCTGTCCACTCACACCCTTCCTGTCCCCGCGGGCCTGGCCCACCCTGTCCACTCACACCCTTCCTGTCCCCGCGGGCCTGGCCCACCCTGTCCACTCACAGCCACCCCTCCTGTCCCCGCGGGCCTGGCGCACCCTCTCCACTCACAGCCCCCCTCCTGTCCCCCGCGGGCCTGGCCCACCCTGTCCACTCACAGCCACCCCTCCTGTCCCCGCGGGCCTGGCCCACCCTGTCCACTCACAGCCACCCTCCTGACCCCGCGGGTCTGGTCCACTCTGTCCATTCACAGTCCCCCTCCTGACCCCGCGGGCCTGGCCCGAGCTTCCCCGCCCGCCTCGAGCACTCTGCAGGGCCCAAACCCCGAGCAGAGTCGCACCCGCGCACCCCCCCCGGCCCAGGCCCCGGCCTGCCCTCGGACCGCTCTTACCCGGCTGCAGACAGCAGGCCGCCTTCCCCGGGCCCCGGCACGATTGTGTCCCCGCGGGAGCTGCCGCCACTGTCGCAGGCCAGCCCGAGGCCCCCCGGCCCCGCAGAACCCCGGTCAAAGCCCGGCCCCGCAGCACCGCCCGCCCCGCCGCGCCCTCAGCACCACCGCACGCGACACCGGGCCGAGGCGGGAACGGCCGCTCGGCGCTGATTGGCTCCCGAGCGCTGCCGGAGAGGCACGAGGGGCAACGAAGGTCGGCGCCTTTCCCGCCTTCAGAGGCCCCGCCTCTTCCGGTCGGGCCCGCGATGGCGGCGGTGCTTCCCCCTCAGCCCTCAGAGCTGCGAACCCTCCGACCCTCCGAGCCTCTGACCCTCACACCCTCACACCCTCTGACCCTCGGAGCCTCGGGCCGTGCCGGCAGCAATGTGGCATTGTCACCGTGTGAGGCTCTGTGGTGACACGTCCCCCCCGGCCTGTGCTGCAGGATGGCGTTGGTGTCGCACGGGAGGAACATGAGGAGAATGTTCCCGCTGAAAGTGATTTCCTCCCCGTCCTACCTGTTGCTTTGTATGTGCATTTCAGTTCACCAGGAGGTGGAGCAGTGTAACAAGAAATAAAGCTTCACCTTTTTCCAGCCCGTGGCTGTTCTGTGCGTGTTTGAGCCGTGGTTTCCTTTTAGCGTGACTGACCCTGCAATTCACACTTTCCAATGACTCCCCAGTGACTTCTCTATCGGCCCTGAGTTTTCTTTCTGTTGATAGTATGTACACTAACCAAATTAACATAAATTGAAATAATTGAAATCAGTCAGATGCAGTACATGAAAACCTGTTGATATATTTTAAGTATTTTAACGTGCTCCCAATTAATGCACATAACATGCCTGCATTTGATGCTCTGTATCTCACAACAAAATAAAACCGGTTCTTAGAAATCATGACTTCTTAAGTGACTAATCAAAGTGTCATAAAACAATGAAACGCAATCCTTATCAGAGAAAGAGCTATTACAACACAGTTTGACTTTATTAAATGATAAAATAARCATAACTCCTTGCTCGCTGCCACAGAAATGGAGCCACTGCTGGCGGTGGCACTGAGTGTGGCAGGGGACTGTCACCAGGACTGTCACCAGGAGTGACTGAGCACCAACAGTTCAAACACCAGCAGTGGCCATCCTTCCACAGAGAGAGGACCAGCAATCAAACAAAAGGGAAAAAATGCTTAAGTAATAGAAATATCCCTTTTTGTTTGATTTATATTGTCAGTCTGTCCACAAAGGCAGCGTTCTGTGCCAGCACAGATCCCCTTCCACAAGTTAGAAAGGAGAGCTTTCAAACTCTGAAAGTGTGGATGTTGCTGCTCAAAGATAGCTGAAGTACTTTTAGCACGTGATTTTCATTATTCCCATACAAATCTGGATAAATATTTACCAGACTCAGTGCATACTCTCAGATGTGGCATGTTCAGTGCTTTTAAGAGCAGCGATTACTCCTTGCCATGGGCTCTTCACCCACAGTGGCAACTTTTATTGCTCTGTAGCCTGCAGAACTCTCCAGTAGGTCAGAGGTTTAAAGCTGCAGAAACACAATATGCAGATTTYTTTGGTTCAGCAGTATTTTAAGATAAACAATATAAAGATGTTGTCAAAGTCATTTACGTTATGTAAATCATGAGAAAGCAGAATGTGTGTGTTGGAACGAGTTATGTTTGTTTATTCATTTAAAATATCTGCCTGCTTAATGTTTTTTTTATGCCAAATTCCTTACATTTCACTGCAGAATTTAATTATCTTTAGAAGGGAGTTGTTAAAAGCACTTAATCAGGCTGGCTACCTACAGCAATTCCTTATAAAGTGAAAATAAACATCAACAATAAGCACTCTAATTTTTATAYGTGGGCTGTCAGACAGTTAATTAGTACTCAGTGAAAGGTTGTTTCCAATCTGGTTCCCAGTCTTTCAGAGCTGCTTTTCTCAAACAGTTCACTCCAGTTCAAGCTGCTGCACAGGTAGATTTTCATAGTCAGAGGAAWTGTGGAAAAGGCAGCAGGTCCACCATGTCCTTAGCCTAGGCTGGCTCACAGGAACACCAAACAAAACAAGGTTTTGAAAATGGTAACTGTTTGCATTTTATTTTCTGTGTTGCCAAAAAAACCCTCCCAAAGCTGGACTTCAACAGGTCGAAACATCCCATATGAAACGGGATTTTTCCCAGCTCTTTGGCTTGGGCTCTGCTTTGATGTTTGCTTTACCCGTGATGCAATTGTTTTTGCCTTCTGTCTCCTGTTGCTACAATAAGCCATTTCCCATACATGTCATCTCCAAAGGGGAAAAGACCGCATGGAAACAGAACAAAGAAAACAGAACAAAAGAAAATCAGGGATTTTTCCAAAGGCCCATTTGATGTRCAAGTATAAACAGGAAAAAGATGCCTGAGGAGGCAGGAGCCAGGARCTGCACCAGCAGACAGCTGTTAGCTCGTGCAGTCAGCAGCACTTTGGGGTTCTGCATGGTAAATAAAGAAGGGACCCCAATGCACACAATAAGGAAAATATTTCACTGCCTTTAGTGGGATGTTTAAGTGTGTTACAAGTGCCTCACGATGAACTCTTACCCTCATGTATTTCTTGTGACATGGTGATGAWACCATGGCCAGGTATCACCACCTCTTTTGGTTCTATCCCTAGAAAAGGCACCACCTCAAATAAAAACCATCATTTGCTGTGCTGAAGCAAGAGAAAAGAAGGAACCCTTCAGAACAGACTCAGGAGCTCATGTGTGGCTGGGTTCTTAGAAGCCCAACATGTTGCTCCTGAATCTCATTAAATATTTGTAAAAAATTTTCAAAAATAACCATTGAAATCCACGTTCCTGTGGCAGGTGTTAGTTACTTGTGAGTCTGGACCACAGTGGTTTCACATGCTGAATTAGTTTTTTTCTAAAGTGAGAGAGGCTAAGTTTTAAAGATTGTAGTATCTGAAATGCTGTCTCATGAGTTAACAGCCTTGCTTTTTCCCTGTGCAGGTTTTGAATGCCACATTTTATTTCCTGCACTGCTGGTTGGGATAGAGGAGCTGATGTGGCTGCACAGTGGAACCTGATTTACCTCCTGCCCTGGGTGGAGTGTGGGGGACAGCAAAGCAGCATTTACATCCCAAAACTGAAAACAAAAGCATGTGACAGAAAAGAAGAAAAAGCTGTACTGAGGAAATAATACACAACTGTATAACAAATGTAATGAAAGTACTTCCTCTTGAGAAGAGGGAAAAGAAGTGTTTCCCTGCTGATCTCTAGTCCACCTTTCTCATCTCTAATTTCCAATCTTTTCCTGAGGGGAGAATGGCCTCTTATTTACACACCATATCCCTGTCAAAATTTCCTGTCCTCTATCMGCTTGATCCTTTCTGTTAATTCCTGCCCATTAAAAATTCAGATCAGGCCTAGCTGACATGTTTTGGTGACCAAACCCTGAGTGAAGTGAGCAAGAAGGGATTTGGCAGAAGTTCTCACTAACACTGTGTTGAATGGACAGGTTACATTATAGAGACAGGAACAAGGCCTGCAGAAGTTAATACTGAAATTAGATCTGTAAACCATATTGTATAAGTATGAAATTCTGTAAGGTGTGTGTTCTGTAAGACATCCTTYATTACCTCTATTTCTAAATAGTAGGAGGAGAGGGAGAGTTGTGTATGGGGTGTGTTCAAATAGGATTGGAACAGTATTTTGATTCAGATATTATATGGTAAAATGGGAATATTTCAGGAGATAAAACTAGCAAGAATTCTCCAGTTTAGATAGATTGATTTCATCTCATTTAGCAACCCAGTTTGATCTAATTGTCTTTTTATTGCTTTGAACATTCCTGAATTATGCAGAGAATTTGGGTTATGTGATTTAGTGTTGGATTAAAAAATGTCACAGCTTAACTTTCTTTAAAATAGTGTAGAACTTTGTTCACAGTCAACGAAGTTCATTATTTTTTTGTTCAAARCCCAGCTGCAGGCCTGGAGCATTTCTCATAAATATCAGGAAGTACCCGAAGCCACAGTCAGGATTAAAGAGTTGATCTGAACCTTAGATCTCAGCTTTAAAGCTGTAATGTACAATGAATTTGGTTTCATGGTRAAGGAAATGGTAATTGCTGAAGTATGTTTTCTTAAGTCGCAAAATCATTTTTGCAATGTTTTCCCTGAAACCTGTGTGMTTTCTGTGCATGAGGATGGTGGCACAGAGGTGGTGAGTGGTGTGTTGGTGGTGGGGGTGTGTTGGTGGCACTGGTACATGGACAGGGCTGGGCTTTTCTTCCCAAAGATGGGCCAAGCTCTTGGTGTCTGACAAATACACACTCATGACAAATACACACTCATGGCAGCCAAGAGCATGAGTCCATGAGGGATGTCCTCAGTTACCAAATTCCTCCGTGTAGTAGCAAGGTTTTAGAAAAAGCTCTGTGCTGCTGGCTCCCTCCAAATGCAGGGCTGGGAGGGGTCAGACGTGTTCCTACACGCTTTGTACACCTGGCCACCTGCACCGAGCAAACCCCACACCCTCTGCTCTGCTYCCAGAGCAGTTTATTKAAYCTCAGCTTTTTAYTGCAYGAAGGSAACTGTCTTTATTGTGTTTGTGAGGAAAATAAAATCCCAGCACTTGGTGCTCCCTGACCTTTTCCAAGGGGATTTGCATTTGAACATGTATTTCAGTGTGGACCTTAAACACAGGCCTCATGATTTTTAATAGCCCTGCCATCACAACTGGGTCATTTTGGTAAGAGATGGCAGGCAAGGCTTCACCTAGTGTGAAGGGTTTCTGCAGAGTTCCCMATTTATTCTAAGGGTTCCAGAAATAACTGTGCGTGTTTTCATTCCCTAAATTGTTTATGTGACGAGCTTTCTGTGGATGTGGACGGATGAGCAGGCTCTGTGTGCTTATCCTGTACAGGCAGATGCTGCAATCTCCTGCTCAGATGCTGTCTGTTCTTGAGGGTGCTTCATTCCAAATGCACTGAGCTTTTTGATTATGGATTTCCTCAGGCATTCCAAGTTACTCTCCCGTATTTTCCCAGCACAAAACTGTCTTGACA